ACCGAAATATAGTAAATCTTATAACTCCTTGTAGAAGCATTCCAATTTTTGATGACTCCATCTTCAGGGGAAAATGTGAGAGAATGTTCACCATTGTAAGGACATCAAATATCACACAGGACATCCTGGTCACTTTCTCCGGCAGTTCTCCTAATTCATAATTTACATAATTTCATTAAATTATGCAAGGAGCTAACGGTGTGTACCTAACATACATGGAAAGAATTCATACAGTCAAAACAAGGCGAATTCTTTGACGTGACTGATTTTCAGTTTATATAAACTCAAGTAACTTGTTCCCCTTCCTTATGGACCTTTAGATTTCGGAATTTTGCCCTTAAGTAACCTGTATAATATGAAAATAAAATTCACAGTAAGAATCATGAATTCGACCTTAGAGAAATTTCGGATGAATGTGTACTAATGTTAAGAATAAAGATACGAAATAAACAGAAACTAGTCGCTTTTTCTAACAAATTGTTAGTTTTACGATATTAAGATAGCCTATGCGCTTGCGTCGGTGACGTACTTCGATGGTTGGTAGCATAGTTGCTACTAGTTTTATTTTAAGTTGTGAACTCTATTGTCAATATGTAAGATATTTATGTAAATCTGTCCCTGTGCTTAACAAATTAAGCATTACGCCATGAAGGCGCATGGGGAAGTTAATGTATAGATCCATATTTTCTTGACCTCGGCATTAGTTGCAGGTTAATTGTCAGCTTCACGCCCCGGCCGCTTTATCCCACGGTACCCACTGGGTAGGAGCGTTGGTGGACCCCAGAACCGGTCTAGACGACTTGGATAAGATAAAATTCTTGACCCCACCGGGACTCGAACTCCGACCCCTCCAGCCCGTAGTCAGTCGCTCTACCGACTACGCTACGCCGGCTCCTAAGATATTTATGTATCTACCATTATTTCTGGTAGGTCAAAAGACCGTTTTAATTAGAGCCGTAGAGGAAAAGAAGCAGTCAGCAGGAACACATCTCCAATTCCAACATTTCAGTCAAAGGGAGAAAGAGCACACATTAAGAAGTTTCACGACATGTACACATCTATCAAGACACAAGTACGTACCTCCCATAACAATGAAATAGAGTGTGATGTTATTAAGTCGAGGTTAGCTGCAACCTCAAGCACAATCTGTCTGACATTTGGAGGGAACCCGACAAAGAAGGAAGAGCAGTCGTGACGTGGAATGTAACCAGGAACTGTAGCGTTACAGATAGGATGGCTCAGGCTCCAGCAACACAACCAGGGATTTCCGTGGGGCTCTGATATCTTGACGGATTCAGAATCGACCTACTAGCTGACTCGGTGTTTGGCGAAACTGAAAAATATACTGCCCTCAAATCAATATTGTGGCGTATAGAACCGTTGCTAAGCAGTGACGCTGTAAACAGCGATCGTTTCTGGGAAACGGCTCGGTAAACACGTTCCCGTTGCTAGGCAGCCCTCAAATCAATATCAACACTGAGGCGAATGGACCCGTTGCTAACCAGAGACTCTGTGAACAGCGACCGTTTCCGGGCAACGGCAAGTTTCTGTTGCTAGGCAGCATATTCTTAATAATGCAACAGTTGAACCACAACAATGAAAACGGCGTGTTTTGTATGTGGTCCATACCGAGATGTTATAAGCAAGGGATAAGTTTAGCTGTGGTCTGCACGGGAGGCTATGACGAGAGGACCTGAGCGCGTGAAGCTGAAGAATCTCCACTGTTAGAAACCGTTGCCAAGGAACGGCTGGTGCAGACACAGCAGACTGGGAAAAAGCTTAGTAGATTCTATGTTGATTTTTGAACTGTGGAGATTATCGGTGGCGCTGCAATCGGTTGTAGTTCCGAGTCGTGTTTATAAGTGTTCAATAAATCCATTCTCAAATCCAAACCCCGTCTATAGTCACCCATACACGTGACAATATGAACAACAAGCTAGTTGCCTAGCCTGCAGTAACAGAATTCGAGATCCAAATATTTCATTAATACCCGCAGAGCCGTACAAATCACGAAGTTAACTTCTTATGCAAGGTTTTATATGGACCGCTTCATTTATCACAGGCCCTTGCTCATTTGTGCAATTGCTTTGAGAGACAAACAGAGAGATCGAACATCTGTGCAATGGCATTTAGCTACCGTGCATAACTCCTTAATATCTCAGTTCGCTAAGGAAAGGAAAAGATGGATTCATAGAAAGTAACACGTGAGAAAAGGAAGAACATGTATTTACCATAACAACGATGTTACATAGGCGCATATGTAACATTTAATTGTAAAGTAAGCGAGAATAGGGGCGGAGTAAGTTAAAGGTAAAGTTATCCATGTGCTTAGGTGAGCACCACGCACAATAAGACGGATATGGAAGTGGAGGTACAGTTCCACAATTCTTATTATAGGCAACAGAGTATGCCACAAAATTCAGTTAACTCATTAGTAACATATATATTAAAATACGTTACAAATCTCTTTATTACTTATTGGATTTGCAAAAAAAATGTTCGAAATGAAATTCCCCATGTCCAATGCACAATTCACAATGTGGTACCGCTCTACAAATTGTCTGAAAGATTGAAATAGGAACATTCCGTTAATATGAGAGATTAATTCAGGTTAGTCGACTTTTTGGCAACTCTGCAATCTAAATGAATGGTCAGCTTCACGCCAGAGGAAATAACTCCCCCTCCAATTCATTGAAAGAGTGGGCTCCTCAGTAGCCTTGACGCTGTTGAGAGAAGAAAAATTTCTCGCGCCTGCTGGGAATGGAGACATCATCTCTCAAAAGATGAGCAGTCCAAGAGTTTAAAAATATTTTCCGAAACACATTAAACGTTTCTTATATACATAAAGGTGGCACGCGGTAGTGTAGTCGGTTGAGGAACTATGCTACAAGCCGGAAGGTCACAGGTTCGAATCCAGATGAGGTGGATTTTTCGATTGACCTAATACTTCCAGCCGCACTATGGCCCCTGGGGTCGACTCAGCCTCTAACAGAAATGAGTACCAGGAATATTCTTGGAGATATAGGACGGCCGACACGTAAGGCTCACAACCTCACCACCATCTGTGAGCCGACTGTCTAAAGAAAATATGGGAGCCTCGACGTCTCACAACCCTATGGGCCTTGACGGCCTTTTATAGGGATAGCTTTACCTTTTATATAAACAACTAAAGTCTCTGAGTGTCTGTTAGCGCTCTACTAACGAAAACGAAGAAAGATTTCGGTCAGGATATTCGGTTTCCTGGTCGAGATTAAAAAAAAATTATCCAACTTTTTATTAGAGCGATTTTGCAAACTGCATGCCATGGAATCTAAGGGCACCACGATGGCTTTCCAGTGGATCAGTCGGTAAATTCTCTGCTCATGAATTTCAATGGTATACAATTTTTAACAAATAATCTTACGTGCTTAAGAGAAACAGCAAATGGCGTTAATTTTGCGAGGTATTGAATTGGCACTGCAGACACTTAACTACGTTTATAGCAGCCCTCCGAAGGTTAAGGCACAATTATCCCTAAGCTTAAGTAATTAAGCACTGCGCCGTGAAGGCGTATGGGGGAGTGGATGTATAGATCCATATTTCCTTGACGTCACCACTAGTTGGAGGTGAGTGGTCAGCTTCACATAGAACCGAAAGAAATTACAGGCTTTATAGTTTACAAACCAAACAAGCTACACAACAAACATGAATTCCATTCCATTCCAGTGCGCTAGGCTTCAACGTGTTACGTTAAGCTTTCCTTTGATTTCAGATTAATGAAAATGTGCTCTATCAAATTTAGTTCCCAATACACAGGATGACCCTAAAGTTAGTTAACTAATTATTAAAATAGACCCTAAAATACGATAGCAATTATCTTATAATCTCCTGAATTCAGAAAGAGTGTTTGAAATGAAATCCTCCATGTTCAGTGCACAACTCACAACGCTCTGATACAGCGCCATAGCTCAAGCGGCTAGTCGCTGGCTTCCCACCGCAGCGGTCCGGGTTCGATCCCGGGTCTGGCCAAGTGGGATCTGTGGTAGACAAAGTGGCGCTGGGGCGGGTTTTCTCCGTGTACTTCGGTTTCCCTTGCAAATTTTCATTCTACCAAATTCTCCATCATCATAATCACGCGGGGCAAGCTACAATAGGCCAATCAGAGGCCGCCGTGCCGAGTGAACCCAGTTGGACTCCACCTCCCAATAAGCGAATTAAGAAAAATCTAAACAAAAAATATTTTAGGTTAACTGGTTTCTGGGCTGATTTGTACATACAATGTTTTGCTTTAAGGAACCGTTCCCAGCAAAATGAGTTTATAAATCGCTGTCCTATTGCATTTGAATTAGAGCGACATAAATGCGTGATCCTAACTAAAAACACAAAGTAAGATAATATGTAAAATATCTCATTTAGTCACATAAAAGTTAGGTTAAGGAAAGGCGCTAAGTTTGAATGTACACCTCATATTAATCGGATATATATACTATATATCGTATATATATGGTCANCGTTCCTCCGAAACGTCGGTTAACACCACATATACACGGTGCCAAATCCCAGAAGACTGCTTTCTTCTTATAATGTGTTTGTCTATAATGTAATTACTTTTAACTACACTGCGCTCTGTCTGTAATTGGCTTTGCGGCTGTTGACTCGACACATAAATAATAAATAATTGAATTGAATTATCGTAATTCGCAGCGCCATGTGTCTCATTTACGTTGCTACGAACTTTATATTTGAAAGTAAGTGGCCCCATGACCTAAGTATCCTCATGTAGATCCGAGATGAATTCCAAAAGAAATGACCTTGAAGAGGCTGTGCACGGAGCAGCATCCCTGTACTATTCGTTGGCTTCCACGTTCCAATGTAACCGTCGCATTTCAACACTTTCTCATACCCCCACTTCCACCCTATCTTCAGATCGACCTCACCTGCTGTGACGAGATCCCTCCTCCTCCTCTGATATAAATACAAAGAGAATTCGATCAGAATTCATAGCGCTGTTGCATCTTCAAATCATCAGCCATCATCATCACTCAAGAGTCATCATGAAGCTGGTAGGAATACGGAGTAGCGGTTTGGAAATTTCGTTGGATAAATTGATATGTTGAATTAAATATCGCGAAAATATATTTACGTTTGAATAATTTTTGTATTATGCCAGAGGTTTAGAATAACCATAACATATATTTTTGTCTGAAAAAAGCTAATAGGATTTGTGTGTGCAGATGGTGCTAATATTGAGTTCACTGGGCATAGTTACTGCGCAGAGGGGAGGTCAGTACAGCAGCCTGCAGACAGTTCCCATCATCCAATACAACAATGAAGTCAATTATGACGGCACCTACAGATACAAGTGAGTAATGAATGGCGTTCTGTGATTAGCGAGTAATGTAAAGCTATCCCTGTGACAGGCCGTGGAGGTCGATATGGTTGTGAGATGTCGAGGTTCCCATATTTCCTAGACAATCTGCTCATAGATGGCGGTGAGGTTGTCAGCCTTACGCGCCGGCCGCGCTTTACTCCCCAGGAAAATTATTTAATGAATACTTGGTACTCATTTCTGTTAGAGGCCGAGTCGACCCCAGGGCCATAGTGCGGCTGGAATCTAACCCGCGACCTTCCGACACGTAACACAGTGCCCCTGCTTGTGGCAGGTAGGGACGGTTATTTATAACTCTGTCAGTTTCACGCTCCGGGTGGATTACTTCCGCGGGAGGTATCCCCAGCGCCCCTTCTCTGGGTGGGTATCGGTACAGGTCTTGACGTTGCGGTGATGAGAAAATATTTTCCCTCAGCTTGAATTGACCCTCGATTTCCCAATGTTTTAGCTCTTAATCTAACACTATGCTGACTGAGATATTCCGGGTCCTTATTCAAGCTTAAAACACATGTAAGAAATTTTTAATTGTTTCGATAACCTGTGCAATATAAGCTGTTCTTTACTAAATCGTGTGCCCTTATCACAAAACTGGCACGCACAAATTGTAACAAGCGTGACTCGTTTTGTTGTCCCAAATTCTCTTGTGTATACACGACATATGAAAGTATATTCCCTTTATTAAGCAATTTGAAATAATGACGTTACTTTAATGAGAATAAATTTTATTCAACAATAAAACTTGTTTTCACATTATGGCAGGGAGAGGTTATATAAAAATATAAAATTGCAAAAAAGAATGCAATTTTGGATAAAAATTTAATACAAACAAAAACTGCGACATCATGGAAAATATCTGTGTCCAGCTTAAGAATGGGTAAAGGTAAAGTTGCTCCTGTGCTTAACTAATTAAGCACTACGCAATCAAGGCGTATGGGGGAGTGGATGTATAGATCCACATTTTTTGACCTAGGCATGAGCTGGAGGTGAGTGGACAGCTTCACGCCTCTGCCGCTTTACCCCTGGGAAATAGCCGCAGGTACCAATTTGATAGGAGGTTGTGTTGACCTCAGAGCCGGTTTGGACGACGTGAAGAGAAAATTCTTGACCCTACTGGGACTCGAACTCCTAACCCTTAGTCGTCCAGCCCGTAGCTAGTCGCTATACCGACTGAGCTATCCTGGCTCTCGCTTTAGAATGGGAATGCCAGAATTAATTCCAAAAGTTAGTTTGCTAACGTTACCGTGTTTGTTAGTGTACTCAGAAAAAAGCTGTATATACTGTCCGTGTCAATATGAAATGTGTTTTCTTGCAGTTACGAGACAGGAAACGGCATTGTGGCGCAAGAGCAGGGTTATCTGAAGAATGCCGGACAGAAGGACTTGGAGGCACAGGTTGCTACAGGATCCTTCTCGTACACAGGGCCTGACGGTGTCCTCTACACTGTAACATACACAGCCGATGAAAATGGATTCCGTGCTGAGGGCGCACACCTGCCGACACCCCCACCAATTCCAGAAGCCATCGCCCGCGCTCTGAACCTACAGCAGCAACCTCAGCGCCCCGGCCCTACCAGGTAATGAAATATGTTCATATTATACAGGGGATCCAGAAGAGACGCGATTGTTTTATATGCTCATTCATTGTCTCTACGTTCCTCAAATAACCTTGTATGATTAGACTCCGGGGCTACCAGATATTCTGCGAAGTAGTGGGTCTGGAACACGTTCCACTCAGCCTCGTGATGATAATTGAGGAGCCTTTTCAAGGAAATAGCGGCTTCGGTCTAGAAACCCGAAATTAACGGCCGTGGGGATTCGTTGCACTGACCACGCGACACACTCTATCCGCTAAAGTTGGCACTAACTTCGCCGACAAGCGGCGGTCGCTCGGTCGGTATATTTCGCTTGCGGACTAAAGCCACGTAGTTTGTTTGTTTTTGTTTGATTAGACCCTCAAAGCGATGGCTGTCAAGAGTTATATCGTCTGGGATATAACATCTTGCAGTCCACTGAAAGTAAACTTACATACTGAAAGAACATACCGCCTTCTTGGTAGTTTTAAATGCCTATATTTGGTCACCTATTACACTCATAGCGCTGGATCTGATGTTACGACACTACTAGATCATGGGAGGTTTTATTAATATAAAAAATATATTCAATATAAGATCAATGTTCCTCCAGTAGTGTTTACAGGAAAACTGACATTTTCTGTGACCACAGCAAGTGTTTGTTTAATGATATTTTCCGCTGAATCTGTGATTTCCTTTTCCATTTCCTTCAGCCTGGTTGGGGATATCATTAACCTAAAAAGAACTCAAAATTTTTACGTACCGTTTGACAGCAAGTTCAGTAATTTCACTACACCTAGTGCGTAATTTTTATGACCATGTAAGGTAAAGTTATCTCCGTGCTTAACTGATTAAGCATTAACCCATGAAGGCGTATGGGGAAGTGAATGTACAGATCCTCATTTTCTTGACCTCAGCACTAGTTGGAGTGGTCAGATTCACGCCCCGGCCGCTCTACCCGGTACCCATTGGATAAGAGGCTGGGTAGGTCCCAGAGCCGGTCTGGACGACGTGGAGAAGAGAAAATTCTTGACCCTACTGGGACTCGAACTCGGACCCCTCGGTCGTCCAGTCCGTAGGCAGTCGCTATGCCGACCGTGCTATCCCGGCTCCCCTTCATGACCCTGTATATGGCAAAATATTTAAATGCCATGTGAAAATATGTCAGCACACTGTTCCAATGTATCACTTTTTGACATGTATTTTTTCATTCACAGGTACTATAGGAAATAAGATCCATCACTTCTGCTTGACATGGACATGAACAGTAACGTCGCCTGTGAGATTTAGCAACGTCGCATGTTGTAAAGCTTTGATATCTTTACTTTGGTAGATCTTAGTAAGAAAACACTTTAATGAGATTTCAGGTTTCCACAGTGGTTAGTATTAAGATCACGGTCATATACGTTTCGGTGACGCGCAGTTTTAATAGCCATGTACTACCCTGAAGATGGAGGCATCAGGTTACTTCGAAATTTACCAAACTGCACAACTCTACATTCCAGGAGATTTCAATCTTGAAGAAAAATTATGTGGGCCTCTACAAAAATATTACATCATCACCGTGTCAGGGAGAAATTTCGTGTTTACATTTTCAAAATTTCACGAAATTTCAATTTCTTGGCCTTGTGACACACATCATTAACACGTGTGTGCGTTATGACTATAGTCAAAGATCTACATTACGGATGCAATTAAAACTTCTGTAATTAAGTTGAAATTTAATGTCTTCTGGAATGTGACGACGGGTAGTATTATAGATATTTACAAATGTTTCGTAGAAACCTGCTGACTCCATCTTCAGAGTATAAATCTCTTCTAAATGAATACTGAGACAGAAGATTTTTCTTATGAATAGTTGGAAAATAATTACCAGTCTAATTGCGCCAATCCCCAAACAGTAATCTTCACTGAAATCATCGTTAGGGACTCAAAACTCATAATAAAACAAGGTATTTAATTTTTTCCCTTATGATAGTGTTAAGTAGCCATAAGGTGAGGATGTGTGTACATAACTTTGGTGATAACTTTCTTCATAAAATATGCAATTTACTTAAGCACTATTTAAGAGTATATGGGTAATTTACGAGAATATACATTACATTGTGTTCTGTATAATTAGATCTAGCTATGAATATTAGCTGTCAGTTTTTGTATCACTGAGCTGTGTTACTTTCTGCTCGTAGTCATGCTAATAGTTCTCATTTTGAATGTTGGTCTTCCGTGTCCAGAGCGATTGTGTTTTGTTTTAAAAACGAAAGTTTAGCTTGTAGAATTTTGTTTATATTATGATACAAATATTTATATATAATTTTTATTTCAATATTGTATATTTATAGATCCTCTGTGCAATAAATACCTACATATGTGGTACAAATAAATATGAATAATTTACTTCCCACAATCCCACACTTGGTGTATGGCAAACTACGCATGCGCAGGTAAAATGAGGTGCAACTGTCTCTGTGTTTAAATTATAAAGCTCCATGATATCAAGAAGAATGGTATGGAAGTAGGATCGAAATTTCAGTCTCCGACACCTTTACTCTTAGAAAAAGAGCCCCCAGTACAAATTGGAAGATGGGTGGACCCCAGAGCCAGTCTGGACTCGGTGGAAGGGAGTAACATCTTTACCCCTTGCCCAGAATCAAACCCTGATTCCTCGGCCGTCCAACCCATGGCCCGTCTGTACTGGGATCGAATATTGAATTTGCGAGTGACAGTGACATACTCAAGCCAAAGGAAATGCATGTTGTTAGATCTGAAGATGAATCAGTTGGGAATTATTTATACCAGATGTCTCAAACGGGTCGTATCATGCAGACGTTCCTCTGAATATGGCCAAAAATACCAATATAAACCTTACCATATTTCGTTAAAATGATTTTAATAGCCGAATTGATATATTTATATGCTAATGAAATAAACAATTTAAGTGTTCACCTTAGTCAAATTCGCCCGAAATATTTCGAACCATCTTTAAGTCTCCTTGGGAGAGCATCCATATTACACAGACTGTTAACAGTTTCCACAGAAATTAACAGACATGCAGAAAACAACATGGTTGCCGTCATATTACTGTTCGGGTGTCCGTGGCACATAATTTTCAAACTGGAAAAAATAAAATAAAACTGTCCATGATTTATTTCACCGTCTTCTAGTGCATACACTTATTTACTTCACTCTCACTCGCACTACATGTTTCCGCACAAAAGTGCCATCCTCAGGTGCTTATTTGCTTAACGTTAAACTAGTTCATTACATGCCTTGTCGTCTTCATATTAAAATAATTAAAATATATATTTATCATATATATTGATAAATGTTAAAAATTAAATATTAAAATATAAAATTGTTCAGGATTTTTCCTACGTCGTATTCACTACTCAAGTCACGTTTATCCTCTTCTGTTGGAGCACTCTTTCTATTTTCATGTGTTTATTGTGCTTTTTGTTGTGTCTTGCTCCTGTGACTGCGTGTGTTATACTGCTGGGCCTGCTGGGTATGTGTGTGTGTGTGCTGTCTTCGTTTGGATTCAAAATTTGGGAAGGCTTAAAAGAAACTTCCAAATTTTAACTTCAATTGCAAATATAGATATTTTTCCTAATTTTCAAACATTTGTAATTATCCGAAATTTTAAGTGTTCGAAGATTATCCAATTTTCGAAGTTGTCAGTATCCGGACTACAGGTATACAATCGAATACAAAATTCAAACCAAGCATCCCCCGAACAGAAGTCCAGAGAGTTACGGCTATGGCAGCCTGCTCATACCAGGTCTGCTGCGAGGCTACGTGACAAACCATAGCACCAAAAAAGACTATGCTTAGGAATATTAGCCAATTACTATAATTAAGTTAAAAACACGGCCCCAAGGGTATTCCAAATAACTCCTATGGAAAGTAGGCCTAACCATGAAATCCTGAAATGATGACCTGTTCTACACTTTTACTTTCCTTGCAACTGAACTACAAAGTCCCACTCCTTTCTTCCATTCGTCTCGTAACATCCGCAGATCAGATCCCACGCCCCTGCAATTCTTGTTTCCCTGCTGCGCTCTCTAGTAGTACCGTTCGAGGAGTGCAGATGGCAGGCACATTCTAGAAATTCAGTAACAATAGGTTACGCCTGACCGCGAGTGTTCTAGATATTTCGGCGCGTCGGCGGAAAGGGTTCCAGAAGTCTTGATTAAACTGTAAGAAAAAGCTTGAAAGAACCAAAAATTTAGTAGCTTTTCATTCCTAAAATCATAAGAGTAAACAAATATAGCGCAGTGATGACACAAAAATTAGGAAGACGTAAATATTGATAGCTACTTCTTCGTCTGGTCTGTCTCATCATCATTCGCCTTCTCTCTCCTTCCTCTGCCTCTTCTTCTCACTTTCTTTTCTTTTCTTTTCTTCTCTTATTATCATTTTCTTTTCAGTTCCCCTTCTTCTGTATCTCTATTTCCCTTCTCTTCTCCATGTTTCTCTCCATATTTCGTCTCATTCTCCTTTCGCTTCCTCTTCATTTCCCCTTCCTTTCTCATCTGCGTCTCTCTCTTCCTCCATCATCTTCCTTTTGCACTTCTTCCTTCTCTTTATTTTTTCCACTTATTTCCCATCCTATGAGGTGGGTATGGCATGTAGCACGAATGGGGGAGACGAGGATTGCATGTACGATATTGGTGGGAAAGCCAGAAGGAAAGAGACCACTGGGAAGACCAAGGCGTAGGTTTTTTCTTAATTCGCTTAGTGGGAGGTGGAGTCCAACTAGGTCCACTCGGCACGGCGGCCACTCATTGGCCTATTGTAGCCTGCCCCGGGTGAGTATGATGATGGAGAATTTGGTGGACTAAAGATTAGCAGGGGAAACAGAAGTACTCGGAGAAACCCCCCCTCAACGCCACTTTGTCCACCACAAATGCCAATTGACCAGACCCGGAATTGAACCCGGGCTGCCGCGGTGTGAAACCAGCGACTAACCGCTTGAGCTATGGCGTGGCCAAAGGCGTAGTTTGGTCGATAATATTAAAATAGACCTTAGAGAGACAGGATGGGATGCTATGGATTGGATTCATCTGGCTCAGGATAGGGTCCAGTGGAGGGCTCTTGTGAACATGGCAATGAACCTTCGGGTTGCATAAAATGCTGGGAAATTCTTGAGTAGATGCAGAACTGGCGGCTCCTCAAGAAGGGCTCAGCTCCGTTAGTAAGTAAGTAAGTAAGTAAGTAAGTACATCTCCTCTTTCTCTTCCTACCCTCCCAATCTATGAAACACTATCGTGAGCAGAATCGTGGGTCCGAAGTCTGAAAGGGATACAGGCCACGCAATGGACATGCGGCCCCAGAATATGTATACAAACTACAAAATAAGGCTCATTTCTGGGATATCTCAGTCAGCATAGTGACTAAGCTAGACCAAAGAGCCGGAGTTCGATTTCCGACAGAAGCAACATATTCTTCTCTACTCCATGACGTCCAGACCAATATGAGGTAATGCTTAGGAACCTTGTGTTCGGCAACGGTTTCTGAGTCATGTTTGTCTATTTGGCAGTTAATTGAATTTATTTGACAAATATCTGTTAATCTGTTTGTACATTACAACTTGGGCTGACAGGCAATTATTCTGTAGTGTGCGAAAGTATAAAGGTGATGGGAGGCCATATTTTGATGTGAGCGCTCCGTATAGTAGAAGGATGCATCCCACCTTGTCGTGACCCGTATGTTGCTAAGGGCGACCGCAACAGATCCGGTACAACAAAGAAAATCCATCTCGTCCCATTGGGGGTGGCTCCAATCAAAACATGCCCACGGTAATTACAGGTGTGTATTTGGAGATGTCCCATTTGCCCATATTCTCTGCCTGTTACATGGAATCATCACGAGATATGAAAGTTTAGTCTGACGTGCTTGTAAAATAAATCATCCTCAGTAACCTGCGTTTTAAACGACCAAGAACTTCGCAGTGACCCGGACATAAAATCGGACGAGAGAAAAACGAAATGCGATCTCACATTTCGTGAAGTAATGTAATGGAAAATGACCATTTGGACGACTCAGAATAGAAGGCCGGTCTGGACGCTATAGAGAAGAGAAAAAATCTCTTGCACCTACCGGGAATCAAACCCAAGCCATGCAGTCAGTATCCGTACTGACCGGGCTATCTCGGCTTTCAGAGTAACGTTTATTAGAAATATCACAATTCACATACACCTTACTATGAATAATACGTATTGTCACGTGTGCGTGACTTACAAGACGGGTTTTGGATTGGATGACTGGATTTATCGACACCCTATACACAGAATCCGGGACTGCAGGCAATACACTGCTATTGCTGATCTACACACTTTACAGTTCACCGTTAAACATGCACTAGAGTTCTAAGCCTTTACTAGTCGTATCCTGGCAACGGCTTTACAACATTTCTCATTGTCACTCCAAATCACACATGAAGTCTTCTATCCGCAGCCTAATTCCTTTCTTGCCATTATTCTGCAGCTGCCAACTGAAATCAGTTCCTCTGTTCACAAGCTCATATTCCGACAGGCTGGGGTCTCGAAACTCGATTATTCACTGAACGGCCTCAAATGAACTCTTCTTTATAACCACTTTGCGTGTTTACGGTGCCACTGCCTAGCAAAGGAAGTTATTCGATTTTTCCTTGTGTATTCGTTGCCGCGGGTCTGTGTTTACCGAGTCGTTGCCTAGCAATGAATGTCTATCCTGACTGTATTATCAATTATTACACGTATCAGCTACCATTCGCCATACAACTTTTTTCGTTCATACTTATAAAACACATGGAGAACATTTAGACCAACTGAGAAACTGGGTCCATATAGTATAATGACATTTCAATAATACAGTTTATGGTAATGTACCACACTGACGCAGGAGGACGAAACATGCTATGTTTTATATATAAAAAAAGATCAGTTACCTACTTAGGTGATAAGATAATATTAAAATGGATCTTTGAGAAATAGGATTGGGTGTTATGGACTGGATTAATCTGGCTCAGGATATGGACCGGTGGCGGGTTCTTGTGAACATGGTAATGAACTTTCGTGTTCTAGAAAGACTGGGAAATTCTTGAGCAGTTGAGTGACTGATAGCTTCTCAAGAAGGATTAAGCTTCTTGAAGTTACTTCTCTAACTTCAGAGCTGTATCGATAGTCGTTCAGAGACCCTTTCAGTCTCACTACACTTAAAATTGCCTCATTTGTACTTAGAGTTGCGAAATTGGCCCAACTTCCTCTTCGTGAAGTAGCAAGAAGCGTGAAGTCATATATCATGAAATGAAAGATTGTTTGATTAATTATAATTAATTATTATGTAGTGTAATGACAGTGCTATGAACTATAAAGTTATACAACCATAGAACTGATGGGAAGAAGTCAAGGGAATGTTTGGAAAAGACGCCGAACACAGCGTGTATAATACCTTATGACACAAAATATTGTCCTTCTCTTTCTCTGTGTTGTAAGAAATTACTGATTAATGTTTCTGCAACTCGAGCCAGTCCCATAAACAATGACATGATGCAAAATTCAGTCGAGTTCTGCTGTGCATCTTGGACATGTTTTTTTATATTGCATGTCATCTCCCACGCTTTGTAGAAGAAGTTGCATTTCCCACATTGTGAAGAGGCTGGTTTCCTGGTCAGATAAGGCTTAGCATGCATCACATTGGTGGAAATTCTGTAAACACGACTATAAGCAGCTCTGTTTGCAATCATCTTCAAGTATTTCTTGTCTTATTCTTGAAACCTGAAGATGAAGGGGATATTTTCCTTCGAAACATAAGTTCGCATTCAAAGGACTAAACTAAACTAAACTCCGGGGTCTTAGTCCGCAAGCGAACTATAATGACCGAGCGACCGCCGCTTGTCGGCGAAGTTAGTGCTAAATTTTGCGGATAGAGGGTGTCGCGTGGTCAGCGCAACAGATCCCAAAACGGATTACAAAACATTATATCCCTGAAAATAAAACTTGTCATAACTAACGCTGTGAAAACATAAAATCCTGCACAAACATTGTCAACTATAGTTCAAACATTTTACGCACCAAGATGGCAGCCAAACAGGCTACATTATTTCTTTGTAACCAACTAACTCCATGGAGCTGAGCCCTTCCTGAGAAGCTGTCAATTCTGCTGCTACTCAAGAACTTCCCAGCACTTCACGGAACCTTAGGTAAATAGCTTGTTCATAAGAGCCCTCCATTGGTCCCTATCCTGAGCCAGATCATATCCATACCATCCCATCCTGTATCCCTAAGATCCATTTCAATATTGTCCAACCACCTACGCCTTGGTCTTCCCAGTGGTCTCCTTCCTTCCGGGTTTCCCACCAATATCCTATATGCATTCCTCTTCTCCCCCATTCGTGCTACATGCCCTGTCAATCTCATCCTCCTTCACTTGATCATTCTAATTATACATGGTGAGAGTACAAGTTATGAAGCCAATTAAACTACAATGGCTAACAAAATTTTGGCCGTATAATCTTAAGAGCCTACTAGGAAGATTAGGAATCGATGCAGAATAATATTAAAATGAATATTAAACAGATTGTTGAATTTTGTTCTGGATTTAATTTGGTTCAGGTGCGTTCCAATGCAAGCCTTCGCGAGTGACGTAATTAATATTTAGTATCGAAGGGACGGAGTGGTTTACAGTGCAACACAATTACCGCCGAATGTTTGAATAGATAATTTTTTTAACATGTATGTGTGTGCTATTTAACGGTGTTTCAGTGTCCACACTTTGTTACATTCAGTTCAGAACCTTATGTATTCTCGTCCGCTGTCTAAAAACATAAAAATTAGACTTTACAAAACTAAAATTTTGCCTGCGGTTCTGTATTGGCGTGAAACTTGGTCTCTTAACATTAAGGGAGGAAAAGGATGCTGAGGAGAATATTTGGACCGAAGAGGAATGAAGTGAAGAGAGGCTGAAGAAAACTGCATAATGAGGAGCTTCATAACTTGTACTCTTCTCCAAGTATAATTAGAATGATCAAGTCAAGGAGGGTGAGATGGGCAGGGCATATAGCACGAACGGGGAGACGAGGAATGTGAATAGGATACTGGCGAGAAAATGACAAGGAAAGAGACCACTAGGAAGACAAAGATGTAGGTGGGTGGATAATATTAAAATGTATCGTGGAGAAATAGGATGGGGTGGTGTGGGCTGGATTGATCTGGTTGGGGGTAGGGACCAGTGGAGGGCTCTTGTGAACACGGCAACGAAATTTCAGGTACCATAAAATTTTCTGAAATTCTTGAGTAGCTGCACAACTGACGGCTTCTCAAGAAGGGCTCAGCTCCATGAAGTTAGTTAGTCAGTCAGTATCAACACTGACTGATGAATTTGGGAAGGACGTGTAAGGAAATGGACGTCGCATACGAACATTTGCTTGGAATCTGAGAAAAACGATTAAAAATCTCGGGATAGGCAATGTCCAGACTTGAGATTCGAAACGAGCACCTCTTGAATACATACCTTTAACGCTACCCCATAGACCAAACTACGGAAGTGTGTCTTTGTCTGGTATGAAAGTTACGTAAGAACTGAAATAACATTGCAGCCATTGTTCTGACACAGTGCCCTTAATCACGACATCGGAACCAAGTTCTCTTCAGAATCTGGACCGTGCGTTCCCACACTCACTTTTACCAACCTGAGTGTGGTAGCTGGATTCCTTTCACCGAGGGGAGAAACAAAAACAATATTTCCTACATATCACCAATTTCTGGTGGGAACGCCAGAAGGAAAGAGAAGGCTAGGAAGACCAAGAAGTAGGTGGGTGAATAATAAAATGGATCTTGACGAGATACGATGAGATAGTATGGACTGGACTGACTTAGTTCAGGATAGAGACCAGTGGAGGACTCTGGTTAACAGGACAATGAACATTTGGGTTCCATAAAATATTAAGGAAATTCTTGAGTAGCTGAGCGACTATTGGTTTCTCAAGAAGATCTCAGATCCATGGAGTGTGGTTTATATTGCAACAATGTGAGCATCTAACACGATATAGCGACGAGAAGGATAGAGTAGCGGTAAATCGCTAATATTATTTCGTCGGTTTTCGCCTCAAGTTTCGGCGGAGACATTGGCTATCTTGGTTGGTAATTTTTTGTGGTTTTCCCTAGTTCTTCCTCCATGATTATTTCTTTCCAAATCCTTTCCAGTTCATTTCTCATCTATAAACCTTGGATCCGATTCTATAACCTGCCGTAAAATAATAAAGGTAAAATTATCCCTGTAACAGGCCGTGGGGGTATATAGGGTTGTGAGACGTCGAGGATCCCATATTTTCTAGACAGTCAGCTCACAGGTGGCGGTGAGATTGTCAGCCTCACACACCGGCCACCCTTTATCCCCCCCCCCTTAAGATTTCTGGTACTCATTTCTGTTAGAGGCCGAGAAGACCCCATGCACATTTCGTTCAACCTGGAAGTGCATACCGGACATTTGTGGTCATTTAATTTCATAACCATGCTCTGCATAAATATTACTCCCCTTCATTTTTTGCCTCCTCAAGAACCTCAAATCTCACATGAATACATGTTGACTTTTAATGTATTACAGTTAAAACTGATATTTTGATTACATATTAGCTTTATTGCTAGTGGGGTGAGACTAAGTCCCTTGTACTGCGGCCACTTCTGGCCTATTGTACCAGCCCCAGATGACAGGTGAAGGTGATTGTGGAGCAAATGGTGGAATGAAGATTGGCAGGGGAAACCGAAGTACTCGGAGAAAACCTGCCCCAGCGCCACTATGTCCACCATAAATCCCACTTTACCAGATCCCGGGATCGAACCCGAGTCTCCGCGATGGGAAGCCAGCGAGTAACCGCTTGAGCTATGGCGCAGCCCTTTGATTACACACCATCCAGGTTCCACCAAGAAATCCATTGGCAACTTGAAAATTCACACAGACAATGGATATCTTGTGCACTATGACTTATCGAGCTTTTACGAAAGACCGGTTCTCTTATGGCAACAGCGCCGAAACGTACAGTGGGATAATGCACACCGCCCAGCTAATATGGCCAGAAGAGAAACACGTTTTGAAACGGGACCCTGTAATCTTACAGTCAGTCCGAAGTGATGGATTTGCACTTAATGTAGAAATGGAAATATATGACTCACCGGTACAATTTATTGCAGACATTCTTTCCGCATGAACTGTAGCTCTCGAAATGCTTGTACCTTCTGCTGTTTTACTCGCATCCAATAATTACCTTAACATTTAAAAAAAAAAAAGGAAGAGTTCTGTCTTCTGAGATATAACGCAGTGTAGTCCGTTGACAGTCAACCAATATTTCGGAGAAACATGTCGCCTCGGAGTTATATCCCAGAAAATATAACTCTTCATAACCACCGCTGTGAGAACCTCAGCTCCTACACGGCGCTATATCCCAGAAGACAGAGCTCTTCATAACCTCCGCTGTGAGAACCTCAGATCCTACATGGCGCTATATCCCAGAAGACAGAACTCTTCATAATGCTGTTGTCAGTAGATATGTCCTTGTTACAAGGTTAAGGAGCCTCCTCCTTTGTTTTAACGATTTAATGGCGCCATTCAATCTTTACTCCTAGAAAAATAGTGCGAGAGATAAACACCAGAGTGACGTACTGTCGAGTCCGGCAGAAATTCTCATTTACAATGTTCCATCACCTCAACATACATGTTCACATCCTCTTAAGATTCGAAAACAAATCTTATCTAAATGATAGACTTCAAAGAATTCGAGAATTTCTTTTCAATAGGTCATTTTTTGTAACAAAAATAAAAAAGTATATAATTTCACAACATATCGACAAGGTCTGAGTTCTTCAACGCACGTCTGGAACACTCCCCTCTGGTGCTTCCCCCTCCCCCCAGCCACACCTGGCGATCACGCCCTTTTCATCTCTCTCTGTCCATCTCATTGTTGCATGGTCCGTTTATAATTGGACTGCTATGTATATAAGTCAGTGGAGTGGAAGTAGTCAGCATTGCACGTTAGGCACTGTATTCTCAGGGAAGTGCCTTATCCATGTACTCCAGTGGCAGCATGAGGAGCATGAATTTGGTAAGTTAATTTTCCTTACCTGACAAGAATATGAGGTTAAACACGTCATAAGTATTTAACAGGTTTTTTTCCGCATTGTGCAAGTGAGAATGGATTCAAACCGCAATAATTAGATGGCTGAAGGAAGCTGCTATCAGTTTTTGAGAGCCATTTCATGTATAAAGAAGTTATTAAAATAACAAAAATATATATTCAAGAAAATTACTTTTCTCCATAGAATTTTTCTGGTTATGAGCTAGCGTGGACAGTGAAGTGAAGTGATCGCAGCTGTTGTTAGAAATGATATTGGAAGATCTCTACATAATAATTAGTCTAAAAATCTTCCATGCTTCGTACTTTGAGCGGGCAACCTTACGGAAGAAAAGTCTCTGTGTGTGTTCAACGAGACATCTCATATGCCGATGTCGATTCTCATCGGACCCTGAGAATATAATCCAGTAACTTCTTAATGGCAATTTAGAGCTCCACGTCTCTGCACCATTATGACACGTGCTCAAAAATATTTTAGAAAAAGATTAATAATTAGTGTAGGTAGATCAATGATGGTCATAGTGTTGTGGATTTCTGGTTATGTCGCTTCAGTGGACTGGACTGGAGCGTTAATCGGCAGTTTTGAGTCGAGATAAATGAGTACAGTTAAAAGTAAAATTTGAGGTTATGATTTGTATTCAGCAAGAAACCCAGATTACCAAGAAGCAAAATTATTACCGACTTCAGATAATTCTTCCAAATTTATTGTAAAGTAATAATTAATATATTTATTCTGTGATTAGCGAAGTGTTGGGTCAGAGATGAAGGCCCATTTTATAGGCCTTGGACGCGATAACGTGCTGCCTGGTCAGGGCAGTCCCATACTTCATTGGGTGTTGATTAAGGAGTATGGAACAATGGTGGAAGACTCCTTATAAAATATTAGATAACAAATGTGTAAAAAAAGGTAAAGCTATCCCAGTAGCAGGCCGTCGAGGCCCCCACATTTTCTAGACATTCGTATCACAGATGGCGGTGAGACTGTCAGCCTTACGCGCCGGTTGCCCTTTAAAACCAGGAAGATTCATGGTACTCATTTCTGTCAGAGACTGAGTCGACGCCAGGCACACAGTGCGGCTGGAAGGGTTAGGTAAATTGAAAAATACAATGACCTCAACGGGTGTCGAAAACGCGACCTTCCGGCTTGTAGCATAGTGCCTCAGTCAACTACGTTTCCGCGTGCCCCGGATGTAAATGTACAGGAATAGAACAGAATTTTAACGGCAATAACCATCACACTTTCATTGTATCTATTTTCATCTTTCGTGAAAGTAATAAGATCCTGGATATATTTCACATTCCCATGCTGGTCATTAAATTTATTCTTGGGGTTTAAAGAGATTTTTTTTTTCAATTAAAAGAACGGGACTACTGGATTCGATATCATTTGTTTTCTTCGTATTTTCAAGTGTACAAATTCGCGATTCACTGAAAGTATTTTTTAAACAAATAGCATTTAAAAATTCGTTGAATTGGACAATAATAACAAGCACTTTACAGAAACAACCCAGGGCGTTATGCAAGAATCTCGAACGGGTTTATCGGAACGAAAAATATTTCGAAGAAGAGTATCAGAGAATGATGAATCACATTTCATAGCCAGTAACTCAGGTACCGTGCAACTTTCCGTTTCTTGGCGACAATGAAACATAAGTGAGCGCTCGAGCCAGGATTGCTACGGACTGCATGGTTATTTCCTGACTTGCTTCAGCTGTATATAGTCCACTGTGTGCCGCAGAACGGTAGGGCTATTGGCTGTGAATGATAAATTGGAAATACTGGGGAATTAAACGGCTATGTTATATTTTATTACTCTAAAATTTGGTGTAAGACACTGAGGATAACCACGATCTGTTAGAATAACCGGGCTCAGTATCAGAATTATATTATATTATGTGAATATTTGGGCAGAAGAGAGATGAAGTGACAGGAGGTTGGAGAAAACTGCATCATTAGGAGCTTAATAACTTGTACTCTTCTCCAAATATAATTAGAATGATCAAGTCAAGGAGGATGAGATGGGCAGGATATGTAGCACGAATGGGGAGAAGATGAATGCATATAGGATATCGGTGGGAAAGCCAGAAAGAAAGAGACCACCAGGAAGACAAAGACGTAGGTGGGCGTATAATATTAAAATTGATCTTAGAGATATATGATGGGATGGATTGGATTGATCTGGCATAGAATAGGGACCAGTGGGAGGCTTTTGTGAACACGGTAATGAACCTTCAGGTTCCATAAAATTTCGGGAAATTCTTGAGTAGCTGGAGAATTGGCGACTTCTGAAGAAGGGCTCAGCTCCATGAGTGAGCGAAACTTCCGAAATATTATTTAATTTCAAATTGCTGTTCAGAAATGTAAATTACACCTCCTTGGGCGGTACAAGCTGTCTCAGGTGATAGAACATCCCCTAAATAACACAATAATAGTGATAGTTGTTGTAAGCTGAAGTTTCAGAGATGTGTTCCAGTTAACAGTCACTAATTCAGTGTGTTTTGTTATAGTTGGTATGCGTGGTCGCCTTGTTCAGCATATGCACAGCCCGGCCGCAGTACAACCAACATCAACAGGGGTTCCAGAAGCCGTTTGTCCCGATTGTGGCTTACAACAATGACGTCTCCCATGATGGCTCCTATGCGTACAGGTTTGTTCATAGCGAATTTGAGAGGAGGCTGCTCTTGCAGAACAAAAATGATTTTACCGTTCGAGAACGCATTCGGCTATATGCAGAGAACTGTACACTTAGAATAAACATAAGGGGTACGCAGTACCATAGTTTATTGAGGCACTATGCTACAAGTCGGAAGGTCGAGGGTTCAAGTCCCGATGAGGTCATTGGATCTTTTTCAATTGACCTAATCCCTCCAGCCGCACTATGGCCCTGGGGTGACTCAGCCTCTAACAGAAATGAGTACCAGGAATTAATTAAATAATTTTCCTGGGGAGTAAAGCGCGGCCGGCGCGTAAGGCTGACAACCTCACCGCCATCTATGAGTCGATTGTCTAGATAATGTGGGAGCCTCAACGTCTCACAACCCTATGGGCCTTCACGGCCTGGTACATGGATAGCTTTAGCTTTTTTTTTATTGCAATAAAATTAAGCAACACTTTCAATTACGTTCCTAATTTGTGGCAGTACACTCTTAAATTCATCACGAAATTAATTAGTCTCATGTGTTCCACAAACATCAGTGCCTTCACAAAATACTTCTTTTCTTTTCACTGGCTCTACAGCCCCCTTTGGCCCTGGCCTCTGATTTTTCAGTTTCATAATTATTTCACAGACGGTAGGACTCCTTGGACGGGTGATCAGCCCGTCGCAATGCCTCTACCTAGAGGACAACACAAACACAGAATAAACTTCCACGACTTGTGTGGGATTTGAACCAAATTTCCCGACTTCCGAGCGAGCGAAGACAGTACATGCCTTAGACCACTCAGCTACCGTGACCGGCATCGTAATTTTTAGCTGTATTAATTGATAGTATATAAATATTTGCAAGAAAATTTCTATTGAAGAGTATTTTGCATGAAATGTCTTCGTCTGCTCAAACAGTGGAATCGTGGATTCGAATCCCATTCAAGGCATGGATGTCTGTGCGCGTTTATTCTGTGTTTGTGTTGTCCTGTGTACACAGTGGCCTTGAGGCAAGGCTGATCTCCCATCCAAGGAGTCCAACCGACTGTCTATAAGATCTATAGATCCGGATTAATTCTGACAGGAAACGGACCAGAGAGCCTAATACGTCAAAGAAGAAGAACAAGGATTTAATTATGTCACAGGTTCCTCAATCCGTTGATTAAATGACGTCACTCAAAAGGGAAATGGGAGCGTGAAACAAATCCACCATTCTAAAATAATTCTGTTATGCAGACTCCCAACTTAGACACGTTTTGCATCCCGTCACACTATTCATCTTCCAGTAAATATAATGCACTTCTTCCACTTGTGCATTTGTTTGCTAGTTATCTTGGAGCTTTTGTAGACCACAATGTGAGAAATGATATTCTACTGTTGAATAAAAGTTGATACTCATTTGATTAACTTCATCATTTCAAATTCCGCAATAAGCGGTGTCTTCACGCTCATTCTCCTTTGCTTTCGCTACAATCATCTGTGAGTCTTGGCCTCTTCTATGGTTTCCTAGATATTTCGTAACAGTACATTTTTCCGGGGCGGGCTCTTTAGCCCCACTTCCAACCTCCAACCTGGAAGACCAGGGACTATAATTCGTCTTCTTCTTACCCTCTGACCTGTTTCACATGGGTGGCCCTAACAGGAGCTTACGCTCCCGCCAGCATAGCTCTCCGTGTCACTGAGGCGTGTAGACCTCCTTTCCATGATAAGGCGGTGTCCTTGAGGAGTACTTTCATATGCGTTGCACATAAGAAGCAGACGATAACAAGAAACTGCGCCTGCTACAATTTCTTGAGCGTCAATTTTGTTATCAGTGTAGCCGGTTTAATCTAAAAGAGCTTATTCCATATACTCGTATGTTATCGTAAAGCAAGTGAAAATCTGCTGGACTCTGTTAGTAAGGAAATTGCTACTCCTCTCATATTTATATTTTGAAATGCAATTTCTGTCACGTAGTTGGCTTCCGTTACCATAGAAACGCGTAAATGCTTCTTTTATGTTAATTGTTGGTAAAATGTAAATAATTGTCTTGGTGCTTGAAGGTGTGATTGTTCGTGTTCCACCAGTTAGTATTAACAGATCTCCAGAGATGGCTCTGTCAGCTTTACCGTACTCATGAACGGAAATGGCACAACAGAGAAACATGATAAATATATCAGATAGTGAGTCCAGTTCAATAACATCACACTGCAGTGGCGCCCTACACCTTGACACACATAAGCACAGCTCTCTATTACGGGAGAGACATGGTACACCGATTGTATAGTTAACTGAGCGAGACCTAAGAATCGTGTTTGAATTCATAATGCGTCCATAAGTCTCTGTCCAGTTCATTAGGGGGTGAAGTCATGGAAAATATCTCCACAGATGCTGTACAATTTATTTCGCAGTGCAGTTGAAAGATTTAGGCTGTATACACATGCTGATAGAGCAACGCGGTAACGTAGTTGCTTGAGGCACTATGCTACAAGCTGGAAGGTCACGGGTTCGATTTCCGATGAGGTTATTGGATTTTTTCAATTGACTTAATCCTCCCAGCCCCACTATGGCCCTTGGGTCGATTCAGCCTCTGACAGAAATGAGTACCAGGAATCTTCCAGTGGAGTAAAGGGCGGCCGGCGTGTAAAGCTGACCTCACCACCATCTGTGAGCCGATTGTCTAGAGAATGTGTGAACCTAGACGTCTCACAAACCTATGGACCTCCACGGCCTGTTACAGGGATAGCTTTACCTTTACATGTGCTGATAGTGCTCATGTAGAATGCAATGTATAAATGTTGTCGACAACATACGTCTGTTTCATTAATTAACAAACACCGCTTTGATTTAGAATAAAATGTTTTCACAGACATCGTGCAAATCTATTAATTACAAGTCCGAAAGTTATCTCTAAGATGATTAAAAAGGCTTATTTATTAAAAGCAAAGAATATATTTTACTATATGCAATAAATATGTCCGGTTTCGTGACATATCTTATTTCGTGGTACTATATTTTTAAACTGATCACGAAATTAGATATGTGTTCTACAGTTAGTTTTAACAGCTCTCCATGGATGGATACGTAAAGCAGTCACAAATGGAATTACGTTGTGGAACCATAAGTGGAGAACAGAGGAACATAAATCCATTTTCGGGGCGTATTTGGGTGTTGTGCCACAAAATATGGAAGCTTACGAAACTGAGACTGCATCTTAGCGTACCTGAAGGAATGTGACTGAAGCCACACTTATCCAGACTGCTTGGTATTCCTCTCCATCTGTTGCCCTTTGGCTTGTCCCCATCGCAATTCAGGGCCATCTTGTGGTCGACATTCTTTTGTTCCATTTTACGTTATGTACTGTAATGTTAATCTCCGACGTTTTCCAGTCTCTCGTATCCGGCAAACGAATGCATCTCTTTTGTGAAAGTTCGGGGTTATAACGGAGGTGACTTGAAAAATAATATCTTTTGAGGTGTGATAAAAATGTTCTGACGTTCCGTAGGAACGTAAAAAATGTAAAGGTATCCCTATAATAGCCCGTGGAGACCCATAAGTTTGGAGGACGTGGAGGCTCCCACATTTTCTATACAATCGGCTCACAGATGGCGGTGAGGTTGTCAGCCTTACGTGCAGGACACCTTTTAACCCCCAGGAAGATTCATGGTACTCATTTCTGTTAGAGGCTGAGTCGACCCCAGGGCCATAGTGCGGCTGTGAGGATTAGATCTATCGGAAAATCCAATAACCTCATCGAGAATAGAACCCTCATCCAACTACGCTATCGGGTGTCCCACTTCTGTACTTACTCTATCTTCAGGGACGAAAGAGGAGCCGAAAGAGGAAACAACGAATCACTTCAGATCTTGCAAATTTTGAGAAAAAATAAGATTCCTTCTATCACAAAATTATTTGTATGGAGTGTCTAGAAAATTATGCAATTTAATTATCTGTTTGTTGTGCACGTTATCATGTAAACAACAATTCAATAGGGCACGGCCCGTTGAAATTAGCGGTAAACTGAAAATATTAATACAGGAATATTATTTGCTATAGGCCATCTCTTTCCAGAGAAAGGCATTCCTTATTAGAAACAAGAGACTGGTCGCTCGCTCGTGACCTATTTTATGTCTTACGTTTATTCAACGGTGACAGTTCGTTGCTATGGTAACACAGGATGAGCACCAGCCAACTTGACTGAGCTTTGTCAGGATTTTCTGTCCTGCCAAAAAACTTAAACTTGTTATAACAGCTTCTCACAACATCCCGCCCGTTTCGTATCCCACATTGCATCCACCGATATTAAGTAACGGCTGTATCCGATACAGCATTGCTAAAATGTAATATAGTCTTTTGGGGTCGTCTGGGTCATAACATCGTGAAATATGGTAGATGATTAACGAAGTTTCAGAGGAACGTATTTTCACTTTGAAGATGGAGGCATATACTCCTCTGCAACTTTGATAATCACCTACCAGACAGCACGGTGTCATAACCCATAACATCACATATATTTTTACAGCAGCGAAGACCACGAAATCTTATAAACTAGCAACATAGTAATTACGTAATTTGTGCCAAACTTAAACTCAACGACAAGGTTAGGAAAGTATTGCCATGTCAAATTTAATCGGAATCCGGTGAGCCGTGACGTAACATAAATGCAAAACTTGCTTGAGAGGTTCTTGTCAACTGCATAGCTTAGCCCTTTTTGTAACTTCACGGGGAATTTTCCTCGCGAGGAGTGAGCGATAACTTTGTTGTTATGTCCTCAACATATATCCTTATTATCAAAGTACACGTCAATAATGTAACAATATAAAAGACATCAAGAATACGTCACTCACTAAAAATGTATTTTAATACTTTATGATGTTAAAATCATTAAAATATCAATAGGACACAAAAAGTATATTTTATACATTAAAAGGGGTTATCAAAATTTCTAAAATGTCTCTAGTTTTATATATATTTTTTCCTAGTTTACGACATGTTTCGGCCGCACATGGACCATCGTCAGGTGATTTTTCTTTTTGCTTTTGGGGAGACCACTGCACTGTTCACTTATCCGCCGTGCTCCCATGCATGTCAATGTTTAGTTCTATCTCATGTCTAGCATGTTGTCGCTGCACTCTTTTGAGGCTATTGCAGTTTCTGTGTGTCGTATTTCTCTTGTTTGTGTGTCACTACTCTGTATACTGTATACGCTCTGTATTCTCAACATACATGACTCGTGTCATCGAATCACAACCACCATTTCTGTAAGATACCATATCCTACTGTCTTTCGTCACGCATCATTGCTCAGTACATCCACGGAGGTCTGCATTCTATGCTGTTCTGTTTACAGTTACCAGACGGGAGATGGCACTACTGCTCAGCAGACAGGCTACTTGAAGAATCCTGGCAGTAGGGACCTGGAGGCTCAGACTGTACAAGGTTCGTACTCATATACGTCACCTGAGGGTACACCAATTACAGTCACTTACACAGCCGATGAGAATGGATTCCGCGCACAAGGCGCACATCTGCCGGTGGCGCCGCCTATACCTGACGCGATCCTCAAATCGTTGGACTTGATCTCCAGGACACAGCCAGGCGCAAGCGCAAACTTGGGGGTATACGCGCAACAAGGGTACAATCGACAACAATATCGATACTGAGTTAAACTCGTTCTCTGCTTGTGGATATTCTATAGTATAATATGGAGTAACTCTTTGGTCTCATTCTTGGTTTATATCAAGACACCTTTTCAACTTCATAAGTTATGTAGCGTGAACGGCAGAAACATATGTAGGCGATGAATTCTGAAGGATATTAGAGGCTTCCTTAACCTATTTTATCCTGACGTCTGTCTAACAAGGCTGACAGAAACCACCACAACTCTTACAGATGTTATCGCAGCCCTGTTGACATTCTAATAAAAAATTTACATCGTGATCTTTTCTATTTTAGGTGTTGGTAGCCCTGTTCAAAATAACTCTATATTCTATTTTCACGCAAAAAAAAAACACAACAATACATATTCCAACAATAGGCAAAATATAAATTCAGTTGCTTAGAAAGGAACTGATAGATGCGTTATAAGCTCAAATTACATTTAAAATGAATAAACCTGAGGTTTCTTCCTACAACTGAACGATATTTGTGGAGCAGATGTGAGTGTAACATAATTTCCTGCGAAGTACATACGTTCTAGGGGCCAGTACTTATTACGTCTGACATTAATATTATAGTAAAAATCAGAATATTGTCTGGTGACTATTACAAACATAAGTATTAGTACCACTGTGAACATACGGCTTCATTCTTTATGTTTTACACACTATTATTGTGTTCAAAGTTACTGAAAAATGGATGTATGTATGTTGTGTGTGTAAGCAGAATTTGTCAGAGAACTTCTTGGTATACAAATTAAAAACGAAAGTTTGAAGAAAATAAAGCACAAAAATCTAGGAAGGCTACATATGGCTTTACACACATACATTTAGAACCTACAACTAATACCATTTCAAAATAAGTAATGTTCTGCATTAATACAGAGAAAAATACAAGTGCTAATCAGAAGAGGACAGTATCAATTAGACAGAGCTTCGTAACAATCAGCATTACGCGATGTATACATAGACTTAATATCGTTACGTGTTCTGATATTACACAGGAAGGAATAATTTATAATATAAAATCATAATGCGAGATCAAATAACTAATTATTGTGTCTTCAGAGAAACTGTGAAAACAATGAGACGACAATTACTCTTATTTTGCATTTTGCCATAATAAAAGAATTCAATTCTTTAGTTCAATAGCACATCCTACGAGGCAGAAGAATAATAAAACTCGCCTGTTGAAGTGTAAGGCAAAGTAATAAGCAAATTTAATAAACTAACTAACTTCATGGAGCTGAACCCTTCTTGAGAAGCCGGCAATTGTGCAGCTACTCAAGAAAATCCCACGATTTTATGGAACCAGAAGGTTCAATACCGTGTTCACTAGAGCCCTCCACTGGTCCCTATCCTGAGCCGGATCAATCCAGTCTATATCACCTTTTCCTATCTCTCTAAGATCCACTTTAACATTGTCCACCCACCTACACCTTGGCCTTCCAAACGGTCAGAGGTGAAGCCCCTAAGTTAAAGACCGAGATATCGCACCATCAAGACGGAGGTGATAGACGAGAATCGAGCCATGGTAGAATGGCGATTAGCAGGGGGAAACCGAAGAAGACTCGGTGAGAAACCAGCTCCAGTTCCACTTTGTCCATCATGAATCTCACATGAACAGGCTATTAGCAACTTTTAATTAAAAAAAATAATCTTTCTAAATGTAATTTCAAAGCAACTGTTCGAAAACATAAGTAACGTTTGACAGTTATTGTACTCCTTGGAACATTAATAAATAACAGCTAAGAAGTGTTAAGTCTATTTGTTTAGCTTCGGTATAAAGTTTATTAAAAGTTATCAACTGAGTTCACTCGATTTTATGAAGTTGTGTATGAATGTGTATTAAATTATGTACATTTTTAAATAAAGTTTGCAATGTAATTTCAGTTTTCTAAAATGCTCAGTGACGTATTTGAAAGGCGACTGGAATTTGACTAAACTAAATGGATATTCTCAATAGTGCTCCTCAGTCCTTCGGAGAATGCTTGGATGGTGCATTACGTATGTCATGACCTCTTTCTTCCCATGTCTTTTGAATGCACCATATCTTACTCAATATGCGCAACTTCCTCACTTGATACAGCATCGTTAATGAACAGGGCTCAATAAATATGAACTCAGCTCACCAGTGAGACAAAACTTCCATTCTTCAGACATTTCTCCACAAGACAGATACCGCCTACCCACGTCAACATAATTGCTTCATACCACACGCACACACACACACACAAGTACAAGACATGTAATTGTCTCTTATATTACGTAATATTTACTGTTTCACATTTACTGAGAAACAAGACAAGTACGTAAAGGTAAAGCTATCCCTGTAACAGATCATGGAGGCCCACAGGGTTTCGAGAAGTCAAGGCTTCCATATTTTCTAGATAATCAGCTCACAGATGGTGGTGAGGTTGTCAGCCTTACACAGTGGCCACCTTTTACCTCCACCCCCCAAGGAAGATTCCTGGTACTCATTTCTGTTAGAGGCTGAGTCGACCACAGGGCCACAGCACGGCTGGAAAAATTAGGTCAATTTAAAAATCCAATGACCTCATCGGGATTCGAACCTACGACCTTGCCTTGTAGCCAACTACAACACCACGTGTCCTAAATATAGTAGGTATCTACCAGAATAAACAAGGTCACACTTCTGCTACTGTCACAGTCACAAGATGAAATCTCATTAAGCCTTCGTGTATGATGGTTCAGTCGTTATGAAAATCTGAAGTGACAAACAGTCCCACCTTTGTCTGGGACGGGAGTTAAGGTGTCGGCCCTATTTCCAGCCGTCATCTGCATTTATAATCGTGTCGTCATTCGAGAGTCAAGAATGACTCATGACACAATAGTATAATCAAAGTGACAAAGGCAGAAATGTCAAAGAATATCACGAGATAAATATTTATATTGTAGGCCTTGGATTCCTTTACACCATGAACAGCTGTGACAAGCGAAAGGGATTAATAATTTCTTCGAACGTCGGAAGGTCGCGTGTTCGATTCCCGATGAGTTTATTGGAATTTTCAATTGACCTAATCCTTCCACCCGCACTAGGGTCCTGAGGTCGACTCAGCCTCTAACAGAAACTTCCTGGGGTTAAAAGGAGGCCGGCGCGTCAGGCTGACAACCTTACCATCTGTGAACTGACTGTCTATAAAATATGAGAACCTTGACGTCTCACAACCCAACAGGCCTCCACAGCCTGCTACAGGGATAGCTTCTCTTATATTTTTACGGGGTAAACCCACCCGATTTTAATGGCTTATCTTATTTTGTAGCACAGCATTCCAAATTCGAATTTAGTTCTCCTTTATGAGCATTTGTGGCGCCCCTTTGCGAACAATTATTTTAAATGTAGCTCTATCCTTACAGTTACACCACTGCCGAAGAATTATGAATGAAAGTTGCACAATTTAATAGTATCCCTATAAACTGTGTATGAATTATATTACTATTAATAATAATAGTAATAATTCTAATAATAATAATAATAATAATAATTATCCTGAAATCATTCATATCCTACGTAGGATTCAGGCTTGCAGGCAATAATCCAGTTTTAGAATAATGAAACATTTCTTTGCTGCTGATTAAATCGCCGCTACTTGATTTGCAAGCAATCCCTCAATTGGTGGAACATTTAGTACTCAGGACGTGAGGAACGGTGGGAGTGCACCATCTTGAAGACAAGTCTGTCTTCATATGCACGCCGTCCCTTACAGCATTTCACTATATCCTAAGTTTTCCTCGGGTTTTTCCTTTATGAGCTCATCTAGTAAGTCATAGGTAAAGAACTGTTACGATAACTTTAGAGGAAGGTTGAATTCAAAGCGTCGCACCACGAAATAATACACTTTACGAAAACTGGATAGGTCTATCCTACGTTCAATTTGTTAAAAAGAACGCATGAAAGAGACGCATTAGATTCTGTAACTTTGTACAGCCCTGAACTATATAGGCCGTGTGCATTGCTCTTCTTTGGAGGAGAAAAAAAATTCCTTCGTGAATGTTCGACCTTTCCATCTGGATTGGAAATCGCTTCATTTGTTCTGTGTACCTCGCTTATTAAGGTTTCTCATGGCAACAGCTCGGAGGCAACAAGCAATGGCATGACCTGCGTACAGACCTCGGTTCGAATCCTGAGAAGAAATACTTTGTCAGAAGAGTTAACTGAAAACACTACACGAGTTACACGTATTATTATTTTCACAAACGCGTATCAGTGGTAGTAACTGACATACAGAGCGTCCGCAAAGCCACTAACAAATTTATTTAGGTGATAATAAGGGCCGCGTCATAGCTCAAGCGGTTAGTCGCTGGCTTCCCACCGCGGCGTCCCAGGTTCGATCCCGCGTCTGGTAAAGTGGGATTTGTGGTGGAAAAAGTGGCGCCGAGACAGGTTTTCTCCCATTCCTTCGGTTTCCCCTGCCCATCCTCATTCCACCAATTGCTTCACAATCACCCTCACCTATCATCTGGGGCTGGTGCAATAGGCCAGAAGTGGCCGCAGCACAAGGGACTTAGTCCCGCCCCACTAGCAATAAAAAAAAGGTAATAATAATAATAATAACAATAAGGATAACAATAATACCTTAATTCAATTCTTATTTACTTACGTACAAATTCAATAGTCCAGAAGCTGATTGAAAAGTACGCAGAGTAAGACGAGAGAAACAACAAAACAAGGAATTTTATATAATGAAAAGGTAAAGTTGTCTCTGTGATTAACTAATGAAGCACTATGTCATGAAGTCGTATGGAGGGGAGTGGATGTATTAATCGACATTTTCATAATCTCGGCACTAGCTGGAGGTGAGCGGTCAGCGACATGCCCCGGCTGCTTTACTCTGCCCTTTTAAGGACAAGCGGGCGAAGCCTGGGAACCTTCTAATAAAAAGTTCTTTCTTTGTGCCCAAAATAAAGTGCCCCCAAGAAGAAAAAACTCAAATTTCTTAATGCTTCAAATGGTTAGCATAATTACCCCTGTCTAAACCCCTTGTATAAATGTGAAATCATCTTTCTATATTCCTGGTATGTGCTCATCCTACCCAAGCGCAATATTCTGGAATTCTTTACGGCACATGAGTCACTGCAGAACAAGGAAGTCCGTTCTGATTCATTTAAGCAGTCACGTCTTCCAGGGAGCTCACAGCTGCAACTGCGCGAACGCAAGGCAACAGTACAGAGCGCCCGAAGATATTTCTCGACTCTTCCACTTTGGACTTCCCTTCAGCGTGAAGTTAGTTATAACTTATAACAAATGATGTCTTTATATGCGGTTACAGCAGCCGTGTACATATCTGTATTGATACGACAAAGCATCACCGAATGACGTACGTGGCGAAGTGACATTCCCGTCACAGACAGCAAAAGAAGAAGCAAGTAGAAACCTGTATCGCTCTAAGGAATATTGCTACGAATTTGGGATCGTTCTTACAGTAAAGATGCCTCATGCATAAATCAGCTCCATCTTCATTTCATGTAACCTTGTGTGGGCAACACTCAGGATGCCCTAACCCAGTCTCACATCTGAGGCAGATCGAGAATAAGATATATGAAGGCCATATTATCATTATCCTCTGTTGTGTTGGACTAATATAAACTGTGGGGCCCGGGGAGGGGTGGCTGCACTCTTCCCAACTAATTCAAAATCGACACAAATAGTGACTGCAATATCAAAACACGTTCCAACAAAATCACACTTGAGGTTCCCACGGCGGTGGATAGTAACATGAGGATTACTTCCTCCTGGGATGTGATGTCCTGTAACCTGATAGTTCAAGGACGTTTCGGAAGAACGTATTGCACCCATTTCTTGGGCTGGAAAATTAAGCCAAAAGAGTAACCTTCACTTTCCAGAGCTATGTCTCTCTGCTTGCTCTGGCTTACGCTTAAACCCTGAAG